ACATGTTGGATTTTTATGTCAAACACCCAAACAATTACTAAGCAATAACAAACATGCAATGCTCATGAACTAATTCTTTTTTTTTAATTATGACAGAAACTACAACTCTTTCACCCATATTTGTTTCATAGGAGTAGACCCCTCATACATATTTTCTAGTTAAAACCAAAGTGAGTGGACAAATATGGATGGTTAACAAATATGAAAGATGGTTCATGTGATATAACAGTAATAATATAATCATGCATCCTAATATGGGCCTGACTCATTATTCTGATGAATTAAAAATTTTTTGACATGACATACTTAAAATAGTTTGAATAAAACAAGAAAAAGATAAAGAAAAATTACTTTGTGAAGAACTAGGTTTGTTAATGACAGAGATACATAAAAATTACTACTAAGTATGAGCACCTTGGAATTAAAAAGACAAAACAATATGGTTTGTACTTAAGATTATAAGATCTGATGAGTGACTGGTAATGCCAACCATGTGATCTTAATGGCAGTGTATCACACAATGGGTTCTCTCTTACCAGAAGTGATGATATTAAGAGCTCTTGTTCTTATTATCATACACACAAATAAAAATTATTTTTTTCTGAAAAAACAAGTTTATGATTTTTTTTTCTTCTAAGAACACAGTAATTGAATTAAATATTTTTGTAAAACTGGAAGAAAACTTCCTTCCAATTTTAAATATGGCAGTGGCTTTGACTCGTATAAATACTTTTCTTTCATCTGGCAGTGGATAATACCCAAATAATGGATGGAAGTTACTGAAGCTTTAAATCAAGTATTCAACTAAATGTCTTGAAGAAATCATTATTAAATTAATTTTTACAAAATTTTAAAACCACAAAACAAAAGTGTATGTAAAATCAGGATTGTTTACTTAATTTTGCAACAGATGGAAGTTATGTTGAATGTTTCTTACAGTTTGTGTGTCTATATTTAATGGCAATGTTGTTATAACTGTGTACATTTCCAATTACAGATATATTAATGTAAGCAAACTAGAACAGCAGTTAGGAAACAATGTATGAATGAATGCTGAGATTTTTCAAGCAGAAATTAAAAGCTTATACAAAACTACACTAAAATTCTAAAATGTTGAGATCATAAAAACAATGACTTACTGTAACAGGCAACATCAAAACCAATTTCCATAAGGGCCAGAAGTGATCATTTGGGGTTGACAGAGCACTGTTACCCATGTCACTGTTGTTTTAACATCTGAAGAACGCGTTGCAACTGATAATATAGATTTTTCAGTTTTGGATTCACTTAACACTGTCTTCTTACAGTGAGCATCAAGTTTTTTCTTTTTGTGTGAGGATATATACTTATCACTTAATAAATCTTCAAAACGCTTGGCTTCTATCTTTTTCTCCCATTCTGCTTCACCATGGTTTGGATAATTCAGATTTTTATGTTGATAGAACACCATGCTAATTCGAGTAGGATCTTTTCGGTTTGGATGTTGTAAACCAGTAGTTGCATGGAGTTCATGTTTAGCACATTCAAACAGAACTGACCCATGGGTCAAAGCAATAGCAACTCCTCCAATATCTTCATCTTGAAAATTAACCTCACTGTCTGACTGCACTAGATATATATCGTTAAGCTCATCTTCTCGTTTAACAGGCACCGATGCCTTTTGATTCTCCATACACATTGAACTTGTACCCCTACTTGGGTCAGTAATGCCAACATTTGGCAAACTGTTCAAACATTTAGGAGAAAAAGTGCTTACATTCTCTGACAAGGAAGGCAATTCTAATTTAGAAATTGCTTGTGGACAGGATTTGAAACTGGAAGAGTTTTCTTGTTTAATATTTAAGTTAAAGCTCAGTGCTGGGTTATCTGTATTGAGTGCAACAAGTCCTTGAGAGCTGCTACTTGAATCTTGTTGTTTGGACTGGCTATTGGTTTGAAATGAGCTTAAGTTCTGAATCTCTTCAACCTGAACTTTTCCTATGGTTGGCTCATTATCCCCTTCTTGTGATTCATCACTACTTAAAAAAACATTATTGAAGGAGGGAAGAAAAGAAGCTAATTCAAAAGGATCTTCAGACAGATCATCAAAATCATCTGGGACTGGAGATAATCTTTGATTGTAGGGATTAGATATTGGGATTTTAATACTATTTAACCTTTCATGTAATACAGAACTAAACGACACATCATGACTACCACCTGAAGAGATCAGTTTGTTTTTCTGATTAAGCAAATCACTGGAAGATAAAGGATATTTTGTAAAATGTTCATTCTGATGATAAGATGGACATGTTCCAAGAGATGAACTAGGACTAGAATCTGAAAATTTCATTTTTGTGGTAAAATTCCCACTGTTTCTCAACACACCAGTGATTTTTAAACCCTGCTTATTCATTTGGTCAACATCAAAACTCACCTCAGCTTTTGGGGCTGAGGGAATTTTCATTGTCATTTTTGAGAATAAATCTGACTTCGTTGCTGAATCCATAACATTTTTCTGCTGGATACCAGGATAGTGACTTAGAGTTCTTGAAGTTGACAAAGAACAAATACTATCCCTATTATTAAAAATAAATTCTCCAGTAACACTTTCATTTTTATTTGGAAGTAAATTTGAAGAACTTTGGAAATTAAATTTTGTTTGAGTTTCTTCTGTTTCAATATTAGAGGAATTGCTTTCACAAAGAGAATGAAAACTAGACATGTTTAATGGTATATCATTTTCTTTGAAAGGTATCTCAGAAAGAGATTTAAAGTTATTTACTTGTTTAGTCTTACAAATAGGCTTCGAGATCAAAAAATCATGATTTAATTTTCCAGTGGAATTTTTATTCAGCTTTCCATCAAGGCTTTTTTCAGGATTATGTGAAGCAATTTCTGGTTTTGAAACAGTCATAAATTTTGTTGTCCCTGTACAATTTGGTAAAGCAGATGGCCAGTCATTCTTTAAACCATTGTTTTTTAACTGCTCTTGAGACTCTGATGCAGTACTTACAGCAAAATGAAGAACACCAGATTCTTCAGGACAATAATGCACTTGAGTTACAAAAACAGGACAAGATGAGGTGTTATGTGACAAAGAGAAAATGTCCTTATCATAAATGTTTGGAGTATTTTTTGTAGTTAAATCTTTTCCAGGAAACGTTTTTTTTTTTATTAAATTAACCATACATTCAGTAACAGAGATTTTTCCATCTGAAGAAACAGAATGCAATTTGGAGGACTGATAACATGTTGATTTTTTGATGTCAGCTTTCATTAGATGCACATCACAAGAAAGTAAGGGTGATGGCATGGATGTTGAGGAAGCATTCTGGAAACTGCTTGCTTGAAATGGTACAAGACCAGAGTCTGTGAAAAATGGTTTAGATATTGCAAACTTATTTACACTGTACTTTGGCTCTGCTGAGGAAATACATCTTTTGTTGCCTTGATGTACAAATGGATGATTTCTATAATTTGGAGAAGGAGGGGGAGGCATGACAATCTGAGGGAGATGAGAGTTTTCAGGGTTAAAAGGCATATGATAGAAATTTTCAGAGTTGGTTATCGGTAATTTTTTACCACTTTCTTCTTCACAAAAGGAATATGATTTCTCACTAACAGAAGGTAATTTTTTGCGATATAGATGATCTTGTGATAATGAAGTTTGCTGGCTATCAGACATCAGATGGTATGAGCCTTGGTGGATTATCAGATTACCACAAGCTACATGCTTACCACTTATACTCTGAGTTTGTTTTGTAGTTTGGAGAACATCACTCAAAGATGACTTCCCACATACAGTATTTGGAATGTCTATTTTTGTGAAGCTCGTAGTCTGGGAAACACAGGTTTTATCTGATTGGTTATTAACATCATGGACTTGAGAATTATAAGGATGATTTAGTGTAGGTGTTTGTTTCCCTTGAGTTGATGGAGTGCACACAAACTTAGCATTATGGTTTAAGTAGAAGTTATCTTTAACCAAAGAAACAGCAGGCTGTGACACCTGAGAATAAGAAACAACAGAAACTGTAGGAAACAACTCAAGTATAGATGGTGAAGAAACCTTAGACTGAGACATATCATGACATTTGTTTTTGTGACAAGATGATAATTTAGGTGATAATGGATGATGCATGTGAAATCTTGCATCACGAGAAGCACCAAATGAAGAACTACTTGTCTGGGTGACATAAGATGAAACTGTCATAATCTTTGGGCTGTTATCAAGGTTAATGGAGTTTTTAGTGGATGATGTTCTGGACTGACCGAGATAAGGTGTACCTAAAATGTGAGCTGAATTATAAGAATTATTTGCTTGTTCAGTTTTGGGAACTATTCCTTTCCATTCTTTATTGGATGATACAACTTGGTCTTGGCTTTGTTGAAGATCAGGACTCGTTTGTCTAGAAGATGAGTTTCCACTTGGATAACATAAAACTGAAATGAAAGGATTGTGTCCCTGGATATTAAGAGGATTTTCTCGTCTATTACATGGAGGTATTTCATTTGGTAACACACATGGTGAAACAGGTGAATATTCGTTCTTGTTTGGAGTTGGTGGTCTTGTTTTTTCTGAAGATAGTTGTTTTATTTTATGCTGGACAGGAGGTGAGAGAGAACTTTGATTAGAACCAGGGATCATCTGTCTAGGTGATGACGGTATGCATTCTAGGGATGAAGAAATCATTTGATTTGGATAAAGAGGATTTGTTTGTCTAGAAAATTGTAGTTTATTTCTCGGTAATGAACAAAGTTTTAGGGCTCCATCCAGACAATAATTAGGATCAGGAGATAAACCTGCATGATTGGAAGGCAAGGATGTATCTTTTTTTACAGAATACAGTTGTGTAGATTGATCTTGACCTTGGTCACATTCACAAGTAGAATTTGGCTGTGCTTCACAGTGAGATTTTTCTGCCCATTGTGTGTTGAGAGGCCTTATATTCTGACCTGAATATTGAGAATAACTTTTTGGTGAATAGTTCCCACTTCTTTCAATTTGACTTTGGAAATCAATAAAAGAAGCTGCCTGATTTGGTGGTGATGACTTTCCACTGTGCTTTAAAAATGGCAATATTAGTGAATTATTTTTCTGTTCAGAAGATGAAAAAACCTGTTTTTGCTGCACTTGTGATGACTCCATCAGATTTTGACCATGAGGATTTATAGACGGGTTTCTTTGCATAAGAGTTGATGTTCCTCTTTCTTGGGTGATTGGTGATAAAAGTGAATTTTCAGCTTTAGGATCAGAAGAACAAGGTACTTTCTTGTTTTTTTGTGAAATGGAAAAGGAATGTTTAAGTTATTAGGTTCTGGGAGAGATTCTAGTTTTAATGATAAACTATTTTCTTGCTGTTGTGATATAAAAGGAAGTGACCTTTGGTAGTGTTTTGGATTGAGTGATGATGGGATCTCATTTAAAGTTGGGTGCAATATTGCATTATATGCTTTTGTTAATTTGCAGCCTTCAAGTTTAAGAGGAGAAACCTGTTGAGAAAATTGGAACATTTCTGTTTGTTGTGGTGCACTGTGTTGATGTGAAGTTTCACTGTTGGAAGAAGTAAGAGTTTGGGATTTATACAGTTCTGTGTAAGGTGGGAAAGGATTATTCTGTATACTTTGTAACATTGTTGGACTTAAAACTTTGCTAGAACGAGATTGATCAGGTGATGAAGAGATACTTTTCTGATGTGCACAAGGTTTGATGGATTGATCCACGAGATATTTAGAAGTGCTATCAGGATTAAACTGTTCAAACAATGGAGTTCTTCTTCCCATACAGGGCAATTCGTCCTGAGTTAAAACATGGATTGTTTTAGAAGGGCTTACTTGTTTAGAAGATGCAGAAACACTATTTCTTTGTTCACAAAGTGAAGCAAATTGATGTGAGACATGTAGAGAATTTTCAGGAGAAATCACCTGCTTAAAAGAATGAGGAGACCTTTGTTCCATACAGGGCGATTTCATTAAAATTTGAGCATGATCTGAGGAGTAAACTGTTTGCTTAGGAGAGAAAGATATTTCTTCAGCTGAAGTGAAAGATAATATGGGTGAATTAGGACACAGGTTGAGATTATTAACAGTTTTATCTGGAATTTTCCTCAAATAATGTATTTGGGGTCGTTTTGAGTTTGAGGTTAACTTTAAGGGATGTTCACCTTTAATGTTGGAGTCATGTAAATTATAATAGCTTACAGTCAAAAATTCATCATGGGTAGGAGAGACCTGTGAATTTTTTAAAGATATAGGCTGAGAATTCCTATCATTTAATGGTGTTACAGCTAACTGTTCTTGAAATATTTTGTGGTTCATGGGTAGATGAGAAATATTTGGTGAATAAGTGTACTGTACTGAAGAATTAGAGAGGTTATATGCCTGAGGCAAAACCTGCTTTACTAGTTCATCACTAAGGAAACCCAAACCTTTTTTGTTGTTGTAAACAGGGTGTTTAACCCTTTCAGCGAAGTTTTGGTTCTTAACAAAACTATATGGAAAGGATGAAGTAAAGGTAGAATTAACAGGCATGGTTAAGATCCGTTTTGGACTAGAGTCACAAACTTTAACATGGGAAGAAAGTGAATTTTGTATTGACTGATCATGGGCACTGTTTGGAGGGTTTTTCAGATTTAGCGGTTCTTGTTGAAATGGACAAGGAGTGAAGTGGGTAGAAATAAAATGAGTGCTTTCTGATCCCTGTTTGTTTGGAACTTGGTAGTGGGTAGAGATTACGGGTGGATTGCTGATTTTGGATAATGAACCCTGAATATAATTGGAGGAAGATACTAAATTGTTTATTGCAAGCTGTTTACTTTTAGTTTCTTCCGGTTTAGGGTGGCATAAAACTGAAGAGAATAAACTTGAACAACCATTGTCAAATGTAATGGTATCACTTCCATGAGCAAAAGACATCTGGGAAGAGCTTAATTTAGAGGCAACTTTGGACAAGTCTTCACTAACTACCTGCTCAACTGAATTTTGTAAAGATTGGTTAGTTTTATAATGAGATTTAGAATTCATTTTAGCTGCAGTCACAGAAGGAACAAATTGTTTTGTAGGTGGCTCACAAAAAAGGTTATGTTCATTTTTAAATTTTTCCTCAGTAGTCAAATAGTAATTAACTTCAGGCATAGTTCTCTTTTGTGAAGAGCCACTAGGCAATATTATTTGGTTCTGACATACATCTCCATCCTGTGGTAAACAAAGAAAATAACTGGAATCCTTAAATTTCTTTACATATGAATCCGTAAAGGCTGAACAGATAAGACTAGCAGGATGATCAAAAACTTTCTGCAAGTCTTCTCTCTTTGAATTTACAATTTCGTTTGAAATTTTAGGTTCAGATTTTTTAATTGTATCCATGACTGATGGGTCATAATCCTTCCTTACAGAACCATGTTTGTGACTGTCTATATTCTGCTTTATATTCTGACTCAATATTTCCTTAGCAATGTAATCATTTGGTTTACCTGGTTGAGAACCAGTACTTTTATTAGTAGAAAACGCAGTTTTGACTCTGTTGAAATTCTGAGAGTTTTCAACCTTCAAAGATTTCATTGTGGGGGTGTGACCATTTTCCCTAATATCCCACATAGAATGGTTATCTCTGAACTTTGTACTGGTAGATATATATCGGCCCTTAGGTGCTGAATGTAAAACAACTGAAGTGGCAGGATCAACTAATGATGAGGTGTTATCAGTAAACTTTGTACTGGCAGATATATGTTGGTTCTCAAGTGCTGAATGTAAAACAGATGAAGTGGCAGTGTAAACTAAGGATGAGGTATTATGAGTAAATTGTGTACTGACAGATATATGTTGATTCTCAAGTGCTGAATGTTGGACAGATGAAGTGGCAGTGTTATGAAATGAATTTTTAAAAGACAAATTTGGGATGTTAGTAGCTGATTTAAACAATTGTTTGTCCTTGGCATAATCAACTGGAAATGATACCTTTTCTACATTAACCATTGCTGCCAGTGAATTAAAAACAACACTATCAGACTTCTTTTGTGCTTTTCCACGACTCCTTTTCTTCTCCTTTAATGAAGAAACTGTTGAAGGTTCTGCCTTGCATTTTTTTTTTCTTCCCCTCATCTTGCAAGGTCCTAGTGGATTACTTCTTATCTTCAACTGAACTGGGTATTTTTGAAGAACTTCAACTGATCCATTTTTAACCTAGAGCAAAGGAAACAAAAACAGACACTCACAAAAAATTGTATTAAGAGTGAAATAAAAGAAATATTAAACAATTAAAAACAATACTGCAGTAACATATGTATAAAAATCACTGAAAAATGATTACTCAGAATTTCTCGACAAGTTAATGAAAGTTCTGTAATTATCATTATACGTTAGTTGCAAGCTCTATGAAATAACTTTTTTTTTGTTTTTGCAAAGTTCTCTTTCATTTTGGGTCATAACAGTGATATTAAATTTGTTCTTGTCACCAGAGTTTGGCAGAAACGTGGCTAGTGATATTCTATGGAACTGGTATAAACTAATAAATTTGGCATGCTAAAATGTAGTAATGAACAACAACAACAGTACTTATAAACTATGAGCCTGAATAAAATTTTTAATTTTGATTTTTACATCTAAAAAATATTTAAGCCAAAATAAAAAACAAAACAAACAAAAACAATCTGGGGACAGAACTTAGGGTGAATCTGTGAATACTATTATATTTTTAGGAGAAATTATGACATTAAGAAATTACTTGTGACACAAGACATTTAGATAAGAATAATTGAGCTTTGTTTTTATGTAATTATGAATTAAGTTTGATGATTTTGTTGGTTTCAATAGCTCCTCAAAAAAAAGAAAAAAGAGTAAGTTACATTATTTTTCATGTTCCACTGCAACTAGTTTGTGGATTCTGTTGGTTGATATATTTCTGAGATATGTAGCTTCCCATAAGATATTTTTGTTCACGTTCTACTGTGGCCAAGGTTAGTGGATTCTGTTGGTTGATATATTTCTGAGATATGTAGCTTCCCATAAGATATTTTTGTTCACGTTCTACTGTGGCCAAGGTTAGTGGATTCTGTTGGTTGAAATAATTCGGAGATACGTAGTTCCTATAAAATTACATTTTGTGTTCATCTTCTACTGCACATTCAGTTCAAGGACAAGATTGGTATAAATAATTCTGAGAAGTGTAGCTTCCCAAAAAATGACTAATACAAAAATTACATTAAAATTACACCATTAAGTAATGATGAATACAGTAAACCAGCTGGCTTTGCTACTAAAATAAAATACTTGGATAAAAAACATTCCATTGAGAATTAACCAAATTCCTATGAAAAGTTTTTGCACAGTGTAAACCATGCTGATTTCAATAACTTAATTCCAGCAATGTATAGAAAATATTGATGCTGGCATTGAAAGACAACTTCCATGGTTTTTATGAGGCACAACTTTAATATTACACCTACACTTATAAAAGGTATTTTTCAACTTTCATTCTTAACAGTCATGGTGTGTATGCTCTACTAACTTGCTTGGAATTATTGTAAAATGTACACGCTACGATTTGTTATTGTTGCTTCTCAGGATTTCTGGGTACCTAAATAAATAAGGCTAACTATAATTAACACATAGTATTTAAATGAGAGATGTGTAAATCTGTGTAAATGTGCATATGCATATAAATATATATAAGTGTATGATTGAATGTATATATAAACATATGTGTGTTTAAATATAATTTTATCAAATGTTACGATGAATTAAATACAACTTATCAGCACAAGCCAATGACTTTTTCATTTTACTGATAACCTTTAGTAGATATGGAAATGCTAAAATTCTTTTGGAAAAAAAATACATTTAAATTTTTTATATTGAGAAGATTTTGAAGTATGTGGATTCTGATGTGGCTCGATAATCAGCAGTCTTCTAGGTATAACCTATAGTTATAATGTCGTTCTCAACGAGCTTTTCTAAACTCATTATATAAAAACCAACACCATCAAAATTAAGGAATCTTTCCCAGAAAAATAAGGTTGCTCTGTATTTATTTTCCTAAGTTTGGATACATATACTATGATTATCTGATGTTCATTCAAATATATTACCGTTGCTAGCAATTCTCGTAAAATGCAAAAAATATGTTACGATGTATTTATTTATTTATAAAAAAAATTACTAAAATTGTCAAGATTTCTCAATAAAACAACATAATAAGTTTTAGTTTTTCACCTTCGCAAGTTGTCCTTCCTCACTTCCAAACTCATCTGTGCTGTCCAGTGCATACAGAGGTAGTACATGAAGCTGCTCATCAGGAGGTTTGTCCCACCCTCTGTGTTTAGTCAGTGTAACCAGCTTAAAATACATAGATAAAAAACAAAGTTTACACTGTACTTTTCCATAAATTATTGGACTTGACGTTTTTTTCCAATTACAATTTTCCAAACAAACACACACACACATATATGTATACAGTGCATCCATAAATTATTGAACCATTTTATTAATTGAATATAATAAAAACTACATAAAATAAACAATTGCAATTTGTGGTATAATGGAAGCCAGTGGTATTGTTAGTACACATCCACACCATTCGCGACTTGTACCACGTCCAGGTGATAATCAGTTTCCACCCATGTACGTGCCAGCATTTACAGATTAATTGTTGCAACTTCATTGGTTATTCAGACATGCAACATAATTGTATCTGATAACTCAGTCTTACAGACAATGTTCTTCACATATTACCATCTAAGCTATGGGAAAAAACTTCATACATCACAAATTCACATGCTGTAGACCACAACAGTTTATCTCACGTGGTTCCTACTCTATTCAATTAAGTACAATAATTTATGGACACTTTGAGTCAACATCAAGAGATGTGAAAACAATCTTTCTAAATTGTTCTGAGTAACACAGATTTGGATTTTACAAAAAAGTAGTAATGTGAATAGTGAGAGATTATTTGGTTTTCTAATAAAGCAGTTAAAAACATATTTCATCTTTTATTTTGGCTGTGGTTATAGAAAATAGTTTTACAGCAGGATTAAGTCTAGGCTATAAAAAGTGAGCTTGCCATTTGAAGAACTAAATGGATAATTTAAATTTCTGGAATAGCAAAAAAAGCAACTGTTGAAATGCATATTACAACCAAAAAAAAATCAGAGAAACCAGTGTCTTAATAATTCAAAATCACTAAAGAATGGTTCCAGTTTGGGAATTTCAAATAAGGTATGGTAATTATTCATGCATAACTTTTTATTTTCAAATCACTCACATTACTAGAAACAAAAGATATCAGATTTGAAATCATTGGATTATAGCCCAACTGTGCTACTCATAATGATTTTGTATACTTTCTAATTGATTTCATAACTGAAGTTAATAGCAATGTAAAACAGGAAGTGTATGGGTTTATATGCTTGGCATACAATAACTAAAGTTCAACATACCACTGTCAGATATAATTTCTTTAAAATCTCATTCTTATACTTACAGATTTTGATCAGACAGTGGAATTAATTCAGAATGTGGATAAAATATGTATACTATTAATAACAAAGTCCTCCATTCTCACTTAAAGCGTATCAAACTCTGTCTCTGTACT